GACTGTGTTATAATAAAAGACTTGAACAGTGAAAAAGAGCTGCAAAAAAATCATTTGCCTTCTTTGACTATTTGTGTATGCGTGCGTGCGTGCGTGCGTGCGTGCGTGTGTGTGTGTGTGTGTGTGTGTGTGTGTGTGTGTGTGTGTGTGTGCATCATGTTGTCCAGATCAGATTTTATGGCCCAGCTGTCTAAAAATAGACGTCCAGATCCATGTCAGTGTCTTTAGTCTTTCTGTGTTGGAAGATTTTTGTTCATATTCTCACTCACATGTTCATTGCAAGGTGGTCTGCTTCCTGCTTAGTAACAGATTTAAATAGGGTGAGTATTTTCTCTTTGTTTGTATCTATTTAATGCATCGGAGTAAACTGAGTGCAGCTTTCCTTGTCATTTAGTGATTCAAAGACGAACAATAGAATACCCAAAATCTGGTGTGCATTTGTATTCAGGCTCCCTGTGCCTACACTTTGTAAAACCACTCTTGCTGCATTTCCAACTGCAAGTCTTGCCACTGATTTTTAGTTGGATTGAGCTCTGGACTTTGTCTGAGTCATTCTAACTGCACAGCATGTTTTAGGTGTTTTCCTGCTGCCATTTTTAATGGCATGCAGACAAGGTAATGCAATCACTTCATTCAGGTGTACTGGGTCAGAAATGCACATAAAACAGGATAGGCAGTCGGCTCTGTGAAATGTTCAAAGCAATGCATATTGCTGTCCTATATGTTAGCTGCTTCAAAGTTTTCTATAACTGCTGCGTTTCTTTATGAAGTTGTTTGTTTACTAAGGTTCTCCAACAAACAGCCAAAGTCTTCAGAGAGGAGCTGCATTTGTACTAAACTACATTTTGGTGGACTCTATTGATTGCATAACAGTTTGTTGCACTGGATTTATTCCTTCGTTCTACAGGAATATCAGAGGAAATGGTGTAGAATGCAAATGTTTGCCATAATTTTCAGATTGGTAGTGGTAAAAACATCTTAAAACTATGTACTCTTTCCCTTTGTCTTCACAATTAAGTGTAAACAGAATAATTATGCTTTTTAAAGTAAAATGTGTAAAGAATCTACTGTAAAAAGATCAGGTCAAGGTGTTAGAAATCTGCGGGCTGGGTTTGGTTCCCAGCCTGTTGACCTTTGACCCATGTCTTCTTCCTCTCTCACAACCCGCTTTCCTGTCTGGCCATCATTAAATAAAGGCCAGAGGAAACCCTTTAAAAAATAATCAGTTTTTCAAGATAATTTTAATTTGTGTATGAGTTTTATGACGGTTATGTTTTTGTTTTTTGTTTAAATATAATTTTAATCCATTCTTAAATGGATTATATATTATATATATATCATACCGTGTGTTTAATATGTATGATATTTCTTTTATCACAGGGATGTGTAAGGAGGTGAAAAATGACCTCCTGTGCCGTTAAATCTAAGAGCAATCCATACGCAGCAGTGCAAGTGGACCCCGACAGTGATTACATCACACCAGGTACGTTAGACCTGGAGCAGCTCTTCTGGACAGGCACCACAGCTCCATACACCCATGTCAACCAGGTCTGGCCAAGAATTTACATCGGAGATGAGTGAGTTAACTCAGACATCTTTGTTTGCATGGATGCACTCATACTATAAATTGTGTAAATAAATACAAGGTTTGTACTGAAAGTATTGGATATGTTGCATGAAAACAGGAAAACAGCTCTTGAGCGTCCTGAGCTTAAGGACCTGGGTGTCACTCATGTCCTGAATGCAGCAGAAGGAAAGTGGAACAATGTGCTCACTGGTGCTAATTACTACAAAGACCTGAACATCCAGTATCTTGGTGTGGAAGCAGATGACAAACCCACATTCAACATCTCCCAATATTTCCTCCTTGCAACAGAGTTTATCCACGAGGCCCTCAGCCAACCTCAGAGTGAGTTATGGAGTCTGATGTACAGAAAATGATTGCATATCTATAAGCTTAACCTCTGAGGAAGGTTCTTGTAGTTTGTTCTTTGGTCTAATGTGTCCCACCTGTTTATTTTTATTTTCAGACAAGGTGCTGGTTCACTGTGTGATGGGCCGAAGCAGGTCAGCCACCTTGGTCTTGGCGTACCTGATGATGAAGCACAGCTTAACTGTAGTGGAAGCCATTGAGCATGTGCAGCAGAAACGCTGCATCCTGCCTAATCACGGCTTCCTGAAACAGCTCAGAGCACTGGACATCACGCTACAAGAGGACAAGCTGAGGCAGAAAAGACACGTGGAAAACCAAGAAGGCAACAAAACAACATAATATACCTCTGTACTTTATTCTCTCTGTGATGTAGCCTGATTTGAACATAAGTGTATATTTTTTTTATTGTGGATTCTTTTTAATCCACACAGGATCAAACTGAACCTCTGAGAAAGGCATTTTATAGCATCTTAGATCACCTTGGCTTCTTATCTGGCCACATTTTTTATTAGGATTAGTTCAGTTTATGTACATCTGTTGATTTTCTTGCACGCATAAATCAAAAAAACATTTTTTTTTTATTTTTTTTTTTTTATCAAAGTTGAGGTTGAAGTTGTGGGTGGATCATTCCAGAAGCTTAACATTACCTAATCTTATACGGTTTTGAGTTCAGTTTTGGGTGGGTCTGTGTATTGGTTTTCTTGTTTTAAGATGTTCCTGCATTTTGCATTTACCTGTCTGCTCCTTTATCATTCCATAGGTTTCTGGGATTGTTTTCATCCATTTTTATGAGTCATTCTCCCTCTGTTTCTCCCTTGTGGTTATCATTCATCTTCTGCATCTAAGCTTTCTGCTTCTCCTCAAAATAGCCCTGTGTTAGTAATCACTTACCTGTTTTCACACCAGGAACCTTCTCCCCAGCAAACACTTACCCAGTGTTCCCATCTTTGTTAGATCTTCCTTTTTTCCTCCTCCTGTCTTGCCAGTTGCCTCTTTGGGGGTTTATGTCTTTATGTATCCAGGTACTGATGTTAGTTTACTCCTCAGGTGTTCATTAAAATTCACCTCATCCTAATGCTTGTCTCTCTTCTGTTTGCATTTGCTTCCTCTTACAAAAAGTAATGAAATAATAAGGTTCACAAAGAATCACAACTAAAAGTTAATTGTAAAATCTATTTGATTTGTTTATTTTGTCGTTGGAATTTATTAAAAGGTATATTACTGCATCAAAGAACAAAGAAACAGCTTAATAAATGAGAAACAAACAATAGTTTAACATAAGAAGGGTGTTCAATTCATAAATTGAGCCAGTGTTATCTATTTGGTCCGAGATGTAGAGCACACAGATTGATCAGTAGTTATTAGCATCGTGGTGTGGTGATACGTTTCTTTTAATTCTGGAGTTCAGTGATTAACATAGAAATAGATAAGAATATTTGGGTTGACAGACGTGAACATTAATTACGTCTAACATGTTGTGGGACCTAGAAATTACAACGACATATTCAGGAAGTGCAATAAAATAAAATAAAATATTAGATTCTAAGTGGTTTCCAATGGTTTACACTATTTACAGCCCCTCCGTAAAGTGATTTAATTGGAGTGCAGCACATGCTGAGGTCATGAGAAAACCAAGGACTGATTAAAACGGAGAGAGCGACGTCAGAGAACAGGGCACAGCGTCCTTTTTTGAGTCAGCTCTTCGTCCAGCTTCAGGAGGAGTGTCAGGAAGTTCCGGTTGGGATAAATGGCCCGTTTTTTGACAACATGTCTCAGAGCATCTCTTAGTGAAAAACGATGCCTCAGCATGAGGTAAGCCAGGACCAAAGTGGCTGATCGACTCACACCCATGATGCAGTGGACCAACACTTTCCCTGTGGGAAAGGATAAAAAAAAAAAAAAAACATCAGTGAAAAGGAAATAAAAACTTAATTTTGCTTAATATTTTTTGAAAGATAATGAAATGTACCATCTTTGCTTTTCAGGCCTTTATGAATGAAGTCAGTAGCAGATTTAAAGTATTGGCTGAGGTCAAAGTGGTCCGAGTCTTCCGCTGGGATGCCAAAGTAAACACAGGTGTTCCCATAAAAGCTCTGGTCGCCGATGCTGCCCTGCTTGGAGTGTGCTGCGTTCAGAACATGAGTGATGCTAAGCTTATGCAATCTGTTTTTGTTCTGTGCAACAGCCCTAAGAATCACAAAGAGGACATACATAAAACAAAACTGTGGGATTATATTAAGTAATCACAGTTTAGCAGCACAGACAATTATGTAAGCATTCAATAACTGTTATGTACTGACAATATGAACACACATTTTGACAGGTTCAGGATAATATATAATTTCAGCGTTTATAAGAGCTGATAAGCCTTGTAATAACTGATTGTGCCAGTTATTAATAATGGCAGTTATTTTCTATTTAGTCATAGACCTGCTAAAATCTTCCAAATTCTAGATTAATACAGGTTCTCCATCAAATTAGACAATAATTTTAAAAAATGATAGAAACAGCTTGATATTATATTGTTTCTGCTTTCATACACAGCACACACACTCACACATTTCCTATGTACAAGTTGGGCCAGACTTCATCCACAGGTGTGAGCTCCAGCGTGCAGGAGTCCAAGATGAGCTCAAGTTCCTTGATGACCACCAGGTTCTGTCGCTGGCCGTTCCTCGACATTCTTCCTGCATGCAGAGTCCGGCTCTGAGCAGACGCCTGCGCTGCCCTCTGATGCCACAGCCCGCCGCCTCTTCATCCGCTCGATGAGAGGCATGAGCAGCTGGTTGATTTATTGAGTGGCGCTCAGCCCGGCTCCGAAATTAGCCCGGTGTTTTCCACGTACTCTTGCTGGCGGGACGTTGGGAGTTATTTAATGTTGCTGGTGGATTGATTAGTCTGTTCACGTGTGATTCTCTTTCTCTCTCTCTCTCTCTCTCTCTCTTTACACAAGGGGCAAAACAGATAGGGGAGGAGGGACAGCTGAATAGTGTGGGTCACAAATGCAGAAAGTGATTCTCGTGGAATGATAGCAGCATTTGTATTGTAGCTTTTATGTTTTCTGCATTCATATTTTGTTTGTGGATTATCTCTGTTGTTAAGACACCTGCTCCTTTTCTCTCCCTCAGCTGTTTCTCCCCCAGTCATTACCCTCTCCTGTTATGCATTCCAATAATCGTCCTCCCCATGCATTAGAGCCCCTCTATTCAGTTACTCCTTGGTCAGATCCTCTTTTGGCTGTTTTTCTTGGTGTTTTTGCTCTTTGTTGCAAGTCCTTTTTTTCCATCTGATAAAAATCCAATAACAGTGATTCTGCCTGCCTCCTGCCTGCATTTGGCCAAACTCATCCATAAACGATAACAACAGGAAACAGGCATAACCAATTTAACCAAATGATAAAAGAAATGTTCATTTCAGCTCTTTTTGTCTTTCGACATGCAGTGTTTGCTCAAGGTCCACAAGCTGTCGTAGAAATCCCCTGTTAGGGAAAATCCAACGCTTCTGTTGCACACAGCGTATTGAAGAGCGAAGACTGAAGCCATGACGGATCATCAGGTAGGCCAAAACCAGCGCAGCCGAGCGGCTCACTCCCACAGCACAGTGGACAAAAATCTTCCCTGAAAACCATTAAAAAAAAAAACATAAATATGAAACTCCACTTGTTTGTCACTTGTAATTTGTCAAAGAATGTCAGCTCTACCTCCTGATGATAAAGCCTGGTGAATAAACTCTGCAGCAGGGTCGAAAAAAGGCGAGAGGTCGAAAGTTGGTAGGTCGTTGGCAGGCACACCGTAATACTTCACCGTGGTTCCATAGAAATCATCAGTGCCTTTGCAGCAGAGTTTCCCGTGGGAGGCGTTCAGCACATGAGTGATTCCCAGCTGCCAGAGTCCAAACTTATCATGAGACATAAACCTGAAACAAGAGTAAAATACGTTGATTTGACAAGCATCACACAGTGTTTTGCAAAAATATGCATACATTCATACATATTCTTTTAACATCAAGATTTTTGAGGAAATTGTATGTAATAAATGAGGGAAAAAGATATATGGTTTTCATTTTTTTACTATGCAAAAATTAATTCATAAAAATGAACTAATCTCCCTTTTAGTCTCTCTCTCTATACGCATACTGTACATATCGTATAATATGTTTTAATAATTTATTATGCCGCTTTCCTCAAATAATCACAGTAAATTGAGATGACTGTTTCTCCTTGAAACCGATCCCAATTTTGCCAATCAATACTGTCAAAAATATATTTTTTATATAATAAAATTTAAATATATTATTTATTATTTGACATGACATTGGGCACTGTGCTATTTAAAACCACAATTGCTGCAATTCCAGGCCTTTTGGGCTATTCCTCTTTGCTGTACTGCCAGAGTTTGATCAGATAAAGTGATCATCAGTTTTCAATTCTTGCCACAGTTTATCAGCTGAATTTAGGTCTGGAGTCAAACCAGATACTGCAAACAGATATGCTTTTATCTAAACCATCTAATTTTTTTTTTCTCTGTGTGTATGTTTAGAGTTGATACTACAAGAAATTGAACCTCCACCAAAGTCTCACATATTTTCTAGCCTCTAACAGGCTTTCTTCTAGGATTGTCCGTAAATTAGCTCCGTCCACCTTCCCATCAACTCTGCTCAGCTTTTCTATCACTACTGAAAATTAGGGCCGTATCATGATGCTGCCACCACTATGTTTCACAAGGAAGATGCTTCCGGCTAGATTTATGGAGTTCATAACAAATGGTCAACCTGTTGACATATTATACCACCTGAGCTGTGGAGCTCTGCAGCTGCTCTGTTCTTGTTCAGTCTTGCTCAGCAGTCACTGAAATTATTATTATTTTATCAGTGTGTCATATAAACCCAAATAAAAGGTTTGTGGTTGTAATGTGACATAATGGGGAAATTTCAACATGTGAATATGCTTTAAATGCACAATATTAGTGTATGTAACTATGTCAAGCTAACTGCAGACCAGGATACTCACATGTCCCCCAGAAAAAGACTCGGCCACACCTCATCCACATGGTGACACGAGCGAGGAGCTGAATGTAAAATCTCCTCAAGCTCCTGAAGAGTTGGAGTCTCACCTGTGCTGCAGGTGTGTTCTTCCTTCTCCTCTGTATCTGTCCGCTTTGAGTCCTCTGTAACACATTTCTCCCCCATTACACCACCTGACATTTCTGTGTTTTAAGTGCTTACGCCACTCTGTAGTTTTCCTGAAGAGGAAATGACCTTCCCTTCACTCTATCAGTGACTGCCACAAACAGGTGGTGCACTTTAGCACAGGCTGCTAAAAACACTCTGTCATTTGGACACATGTTTGCAAACATGTCAGCCACTTTATAGTTCTTGTAAATCAGCCAAAGAGGGTCATAATTTTTTCGTCTTTTTTTTTTTTTTTTTTCTGTTTGTTTTTTTTTTGTTTTTGTTTTTTTTACTTATCTGGTGTAACATTGCCTGTAATCAGAGCCTTGCTTTTCCAAGGACTGGCCTGCAGGGGTCAGTATGTTCCCAGCTGCACGTCTGCATGAGGCAAGGAGCTCTTCTTTGCCGATGTTGTTAGTTAGTGGAGTCTTCCTGTTTGGCGTTGCCTAGTTGTCTGAAGCATGTTGGCCATGACACAATCCTGGGAGTGGAGAAACAGGCAGAAAGTTTATCCGAGACGTCCAGCAGCACTGTGACACTGGGCCTTTTTGACAAGGTAGGCTGACATTGACTTGAAATTATTTTTACAGCAAGTTTAGAACAACATTCTGTGCTTTATGTGGCATATTTCTTCTCAGCTGAGTGTACCCCCCCACCCCCCACCCCTTTTTAGGTTTCTAAAAGAATATCTCTTTGTGTCTCTGCTTTGGGGACACTGTAAGCCCTTTGTCGAGCTGTCTTTGTCTGAAACACACTGGCAGCTTTCTCTGTCCCAGTTGGGTGTCACTGCTCCCTGTGACTCAGTGTAAGCTGACCAAATGTGCTGACATGGCACTTATTCATCCCCAGTAAAGCCTCGGCCACAGAAGATACCAACCAACACTGGAGCCTAGATAAAAATAAGCGATTTCTCTTTTAGGGGCAGAGCAGAAGCAGTGCTGGTGAGTTATTTAAGTTTCAGATATGTAAATATGTAGCACTCTTTGGCCTGCTTGCTAGTTTCATTACTTGCTCTGTTGTTCACTGGTGACAGTGAATGACAGATGATTTGCATTTAGTGTGGGGTAAAATTAAGTAATGTATTTTGGGAACAGGGAGGTTTCAGTAGCAGCTTGAACCTAAGTTCAATGCACACACTTTATTGAAAGTGTTGGAATAATGTTGACATCCTAGTTCTATAAACATAGAACTAGAACAAGTGGCAATCAGAATAAAATAAAACCTAGAAGTAACACTAAAATTATAAGGTTAGATTATCATAAAGATATTTTAGAGGATCTTCCCAGGACAACAGTTTTGCCCACTATGACATCATTCTACTAATAGCGGTCATACTGGTTCAAACAAGAGAAATGTTGGTTTTGTGGTATTTCTCGGTTGTTTGTCTTATTCAATAAGTATCAAAGGGTGTGGATACATCTTAAAACATAAATGGAAATAAGGGTGGTGCAACCAAATAATTGGAAAAGCACCTATCAGGCTTTTCCTGATTTTCTGGTTACTTTTCAGATCTGGCTTTGTTATTTTTATTTATTTATTTATTTTTTGCCCAGAAAAAATAGAAAAGACATACCACCACTTGGGGGTGGTATAGTGAACTTCATAAAGACAGAAAGCATCATGAGCAAAAGACATGCTGAATGTTTGGAACAGTGTCTCAAGGCATCAACCAATAAATTAAATCTTCCAAATGGACAGTGACTCCAAAGCGTATCACCAGATTAAATAGAAAGTGGATTAAGGACTTCAAAGTCACTGAAACTGGTCACGATGTTGGCATTCAATACTATTAAATGTATATAGAAAACATAAAAAATATACATAATTTTTTTAATTTTTTTTAAAAAAAAAAAAAAAAAATTGGGCTGCACAGTGGCGCAGTTGGTAGAGCTGTTGCCGTGCAGCAAGAAGGTTCTGGGTTCGATTCCCGGCCCCGGTCTTTCTGCATGGAGTTTGCATGTTCTCCCTGTGCATGCGTGGGTTTTCTCCGGGTACTCCGGTTTCCTCCCACAGTCCAAAAAAAACATGACTGTTAGGTTAATTGGTCTGTCTAAATTGCCCCTAGGTGTGTGTCTGTGTTGCCCTGCGACAGACTGGCGACCTGTCCAGGATGTACCCCGCCTCTCGCCCGGAACGTTAGCTGGAGATAGGCACCAGCACCTCCCGACCCCACTGAGGGACAAGGGTGTTCAGAAAATGGATGGATGTTTAAAAAATTTGCCTTGTACAAAAACATTTGTTGCAAGGTCAGTGCAACAAATAACAGTGTTCAGCAGCCTCATATTTCCTTAAATAGTCAATTAATTGTAACATAAAGTGCAATGTCATGGATTCTATGCTGCAAAATATGGTATTGATTTCAAGCCAGTCAAATGTCTCCTGAACACGAATGCTATCGTTTATTTTACAAAGTTGACACAACTCCAGTCACGTTGGTGCAGAGTTGCAGACCTTTGGAGCAACATCATTGCAAGCTTATCAAAAGGTCAAAGAGTGAAAACTAGAGGGGTGGGGGGAAAGAGCTGAAGCACCACAGCTAATTAATCAATGTTGAGTCTTTGTGCAGTACAGAAGGTCACTTACTTTGTTTCTGTCTGAAGATTTGCATAGTTTGCAACTCTTGCTGTGTTTCTCCAAGTAATATGGTCATCTATTTTCTCTAAACCCTAAAACAACAGCTGGAGAATAAAGAGGACAATTGTTTGTTTTGGTTTAACCTTCACCTGCTTCTTGCACATGCTTATAATACAGGGTACTGTTCTGTGGTGGTGTAAACCGCCCTGAACAAACAATACAGGTTGTTATGACAACAACAAAAAAAATGAAGTAAGAGCTGGAGAAGACACAGCAGACAGTCGTACCAATACATGGCATCTAAAATCGAGATCAGAACGAGGGATAAAATTGCAAAAATTGAGCAAATGAACAAATAGATGTTGTATGAAATATAAGAAAATTAAATCTTCTCCCCTAAATTATCAAATAATAGTCAAGCTTAATTAACAGGAGGATGTTGGGAGGAAGGATCATATAAAACAGTTACGTTTGTGAATGTGAATGTGAATACAAATACATTCCACACTTCAGATTTTTTTTTGTTTTTTAAACTCTTTGATTTATTTGTGCTATATGAAAACATTTTCTCTTCTTTCTTTTGGTCTACGATGTAAGACTCGCATAAAACGCATTTGGCTCTTGTGGCTTTGCTGAAACAAATTTTAGAAAAAAATACCTGTAAATTCACTGTAAGTCAGTGAACTTCCAGTTCTTTTCAGATGAAAACATGCATTCATGATGCTTTGTGTTTCTGTGTGCAGCAGGATGTCGGAGTCAAATGGTCGCGTGAGTGCCTGGAGCAGTAGCCAAGTGGGCCAGTGGCTGCAGGACGAAGGTTTCGGGCAGTACGTGGACTTGTTGTGTACGCAGCACCGCATCGACGGCGTCAGTCTACTGGCTCTGACTGAAGCTGACCTGCGGGGTCCTCCCCTTGGCCTCACCGTGCTGGGACACATCAAGCGACTGAGTGTAGCCCTCCGCCGCCTCCAGAGGGAGAATAAAGCTGAGTTGGAGGAGCTAGGTCTGTGGCCTCCAGACGCTAACTCTGCTGGACTCTCGCTGGGTGCTCCAAGGGCCGAGTGGAGCTGTGATGGAGCTGAAAGGAGGGGATGTAATGGTGGAGATCATTTGTGCAATGGGATGGAGCTGCGGCTGAGGAACGGTAGCAGCCGTGGGTGTGCGCCTGGGACAGCGCTGTGTCAAACACACTCCAACGGCAGGTTTCGACAGCCAATGGTGGGCCGATTGGATCCTGAGGTCTGGAAGACGGTCATTAGTTCTGTATATGTATTCTTAGTGTGTGGACTGACCTCTTTTGTCATGGTTATTGTGCATGAGCGTGTCCCTGACATGAGGACTTACCCGCCCCTTCCTGATATATTCCTGGACAGGTACGAACCGACCTGCTTACCTTGTGTGTTTTTGCAACAGTAACATCAGTGAAAATCCACACGAGGACTCCAATGCTTGTTCTGCAACTTTATCTCCTTTGTTTGGAAACACATTCTATTAATCTACAGACTGACACATATTTTCCTTCTTCCACAGTGTACCCAGAATCCCTTGGGCGTTTGTGATGGCTGAAGCTTGTGGCCTTATCTTGTGTTACATGTTTTTGTTGATCCTGCTCCTTCACAAGCACAGGTATCGCCTTTTCCAATAATCCAATAATGAGCACTCTCCTCATTGTGGCTCACTGTTGCCCGGAGGATTGACACAAGCTTCCGTTCTGTCTGTAATTCAGGTCAATTCTCCTCAGACGCCTGTGTTCTCTGATGGGAACAGTGTTTCTGCTTCGTTGTTGCACCATGTTTGTCACCTCGCTCTCTGTGCCTGGGCAGCACCTGAAATGTTCCAGCCTGGTGGGTTAAACAGAAGTGTTACTGTAAACAACAGAGTTGCTATGTTTTTATCCTTAAGTGAGTAGCTGGTAACTACAATCATGAGGTAACTGGGTGACTCAAAGTAATTTTTTTTTGTCCCTCAAGTCCTACGGTGATACTTGGGGAAAGATCCAGAGAGCCCTGGCCATATGGAGTGGGTTTGGGATGACTCTTACAGGTGTCCAAACCTGTGGAGACTACATGTTCAGCGGCCACACTGTGGTCATCACGATGCTCAACTTCTTTGTGACTGAATGTAAGTTGTTTTTTTTGTTTTTTTTTATTTTGCTATGACTGTCTTGTCTCTTAAGAATAATGGAGGCAAAGACATTGCTCAATGTTTCTCCTGTGTCTTTTGTTGGAGCAGTTAATGAATTCTCAAGACTGTGTAAAATATCCATCAGCATCACCTCAGGTTATATGCCAGGCACTCGGTTCTGCCAGCAGCAGTGTTCTCACTAAAACTCTGAGAACTAAGCACATCAACTCAGTTTACAGTCCTTACACTGACTGTAAACTATAAGTAATGGAGTAGATAAAGAACAGAAGACTCAGAATTAACTCAAACTTATCTTAATGTTGATTTAACCTTAATAAAATATCTTACTGAGTGTACCAATTTGAAGATACACTCAAATTGTCTTTTTATCTTTTAAAAACACAAAATCAAAAAAGATAACATGAATATTGAAAAAAAAAAGCATTTGCTTTGGAAATCTGAGTCTGGAAAATTATGGAAGTTTCACATAAAAATGTAAAGGAACCCTGCCCGTCCGTCTACCAGATTTGTTCTGCTAATTTCTTATACTTCCAGACACACCGAGAAACTGGAATTTGATCCATACCATCTCCTGGGTGCTGAACCTGTTTGGGATTTTCTTCATCCTGGCGGCCCATGAGCACTACTCCATCGACGTCTTCATAGCCTTCTACATCACCACACGCCTCTTCCTCTACTACCACACATTAGCCAACACCCGTGCCTTCCAGCACAGTCGCAGGGCTCGCATTTGGTTCCCCATGTTTTCCTTTTTTGAGTGCAATGTGAATGGACCCGTTCCTAACCAGTATCACTGGCCCTTCAGTAAACCAGCCTTCATGAAAACTCTAATTGGATGAAGAGTCTTGAACGATAATTTAGCTTTTTTGTAGCAGTGCCTCAAAGAATTTTCTGTGATATTAATGATACTATTATGATCGTATTTCTTCTTTTGCAGATTAATTGTTGTTTTTCTCAGGTTCAGGTGAACAGCTATGCAGTTTAAGTTTAGTACTTTAAAAATCTTTAAAAAGATGAGACTATTTTCACCTTCTGTCAGTCTGCTAAATAGAGCTAGCAGCTAGTTAGCTTAGCATACAGGAAACTAAAACACAGACATGGAGTTGGATAAAAAGCAGAAATAAGCCATAGTTTTTGTGTGAAGCACATTTAATCAATCAGACGTGTAAATGTTGAAAAACTTGCATTTCTTCAAGTTTTCTGGAACATATTCAGATTGGTGGTAGCTAGCTCCAACCGTTGCCTCATAATTAGCATATTTCTATTATGACTGAGTTGGCTGAGTTTTGTTATTCACAGTATTCTTAACTGTTCTTTCAGATTTAAATTGCACGTCTCTTAATAAATTAATAATACTCACTTGTATATCATAAAAGCGAAGGATACTGGCATTTTCTGGAAGATTGTACACTATGTAGCATTTTTATTGACTTCCACTTTTTGGATGTTTACAGTTCAATGGTAATTTGTCAAATTTTGTATACAAAGTAATGCATGTGACAGGTTCTTTTTTAAAGAGTGAATTCGCTGAAAGTTTACATTTTGCTGCAAAGAGCACTTTAGTAAGTGCAACCAAAATAGCCTTTTTATCAATATGCAACCAAATACTTGACCTCCTCATGTTTTGCAAAGAAAAAAAAAAGAGATCTATTTCAGGGACATTTTTATTTTTGTCATTTTACATTAAAAGTGAATGTTTGACTTATAATCAATTTGAAATGTAAAAATAAGTTTATGATTCAGTTATTTTTTGTATTTTTGTCCTACTTTTGCATATAGTGTAGAAATACTTGACATTTGTTACTTGGTTGAAAAAACACCTTGTCTACCAAAGACTGGAAGTTTGTTTACAATAATGTGGCTTATTTTTTTTTTGTTTTGTTTTTTTGTCTTTTATCTCATGAATGACGTTTATGCTTAGGAAACCTTTCATATTGGTCTTCAGCTTTCTTTACACTGTAGCTGTTGCATGTGTCTTTTTGTAAATGACCAAAAAGAGCAAGTTGCATCATGCAGTCTCTTCGTTCTAAGAAATGTGTCTTAAACATGCAATTTTAACATAACCTGTGCATCTGTTCCCCACCTTAAAACAAATGTCTGACAAATCACTGTTCAAATATTTGAATTAAAGAAATGCAGGGCTGCACACCCACCGATATAAACCATCATTGTAACTCTCAGCTTTCATACACTAACCTCTTGGTGACTGCGTCAGATCTCGTCTGAAGATGGTATGTATTTGACAAATTAGGGCTGCTGTAATTCTTATTAATATATTTGGAATAAACAAAACTTTTATTCCAAATTCATCAAATGTAGACTCTGGTTGTGGGTTTTTTTTTTTGTTTTTTTGTTTTTTAGTGGTTCATATACAAATGTTATGAAATTCCCTAACTGCGTCATTGTAATCACAGTTTAAATGTTTTTTTGTGAACTTCTGACTAAAATTTATAAAACAGCATTTCTGCTATTTTAGGTAGCTCTGTGGCTGAAGTGAGCCTTTTTTAAACAGGAGAAAATGTTTCATCTCCTAGTAAAACTAAAAATATTAATTCTGTCTGTGGGTTAAACCAATTTGAAATTATTGAAGCAATTTTTTTTTACTGCTAGAACAATTAATCTTGCTTGATTCAGCCAGGGAAAGCTTATGATTTTTGTGCTGCAGATAATAAATATAGATTATGTGTTGCAGAAGAAACAATGTAAGTCGATGCGTTCTTTCACATGCCGTAATAATATAGAACATAAAACTTTCATAAGCCATAACGTTGCAGGCAATTGTAATTGCATTGTTCCTTTTGAAACAAAGAGAAACAAAAGGCATGTTTTACATCAATTTTAACTGTTTGAATTCATCCAATGTTGATAAAACCCCAGACGTCATAAAACACCTTGTTCACTGTCCATGTACTTTTTTTTTGTCTGCAGTGTCTTTTTGTACTGTGTCACTCTGACTTCTTCTTCCAGGAGTTGGTGATAAAAGATTTGGCAAACCCTCCAAAAGGTGAGTAATATCTTGCCACCTGCAGAGACAGACAGCAGCATAAACAATAAGAGTGCAGACGATGATTTGGGAAGGTGGAAAGCTTTCTTCATTACTCAAACTGCTTTTAGAAAAGCCAGCTGGGGTTTGCTTTAGTTTTTCGAGATGCAAACAAAAGGCTTGGCTCCTCACAAGCGTTTAGGACGAGCATGATAGAAAGCTCACAAGCTTAAAGAATTCTTGCTAACGCCCAACGCAAGATTCACATCACTTAGAAACCACACCACAAAAATCAACACAGAGAAAGGATTAGCACCTGACGTGGATTTATCAGAGACAAACACGTCACCTGCTTCTCTGAAATGGGTTCAATTTGTTTACACACAGGGTGTGCGGATGAAGATGGGAAGGAGCGCGGATTTGGGTCTGAATGGGTGAGAGAGTGCATGGGGTGCTCCTGCACCAAGGAGGCTTTGAGCTGCTGCAGCATGTAAGGCTTTTATTCTCTTTTGTACAACATTTCCCTGAATGTTGCTAATATACAATTGTCACTCTTTACAAAACAAAAATTGTGTTCCTTCTTAACATTCCAAACATAAGCTTCGAATTGCATGAAATCGTATCTCGTTCTCAGCACCTACTTAGTCCAACATAAGCCTAATACGAGCAGAATTGTAAGGTTTAAAGTAATAAACACAGAGATCTGCGTGGGGTCATTACACAGGTGTCGCAAAGTGAAAATGAGTGAAAATGAGTTCAGAGCTGACAAAAACACACCCCAACAATATACAGCTCTGATGGCAGAAAATAAGTAGTTCTACAAAGTATTGACTCATAGTGGCTGAATACATATGGATGCCACAATTTCCTAAAAAAAAAAAAAAAAAAAAAATTGTTAAAAATTGTAAAAATGTTAAAATCTAAATAAAATCCTTTCCCCTGCAGTTCACACTAATGTGCCACTTTGTCTTTGTCTATCACATAATACATTGTAATGTGACAAATTGTGGAAAAACAAACAAAAAACCCAGTAACTTCATTTGTTCTCCTTTCTTTTTTAACTATGTCTAGCTTACAAAATCATCTTGACAATTATGTTCTTTCTCCCTGTTGGGTCTGAAGGATCCCTGATGAAGCCACCGTGGATATCCCTGAGAAGTGTGAGCTTGTTGTGGATAAAGACGCCTGCTCTGCCAAGATGGTGCAGAAGTCAGACAAAACACAGCCGTGTTATCCTTTCCGAAAACACAATGCAGACTCTAATGTTTAAGACAATCCAACATCCTGATGCTATTTCATTATTGTATTACGGAGTTATGCAGTTTATGTTCAGCATATAGCCAATTAAACAGCAGTACCTATCTTACTTTATCTTGTCATACTGAAAATCAACTGGTAAAAAAAGGTGCACCTTCCAGCTTGCAGCAGCTGATGTCGTTTAACGATCCCGCCACTATGTGGCAGCAGAGATCGACTCTCGGCGGGTCTCGGGCACCCAAACGGCTCCAATAGCCCAATTATAGCTGTTCTACCCTCGCTGCTGTTTCTGACAGAAACGCTCTGGCTATTATGATATTCAGCTCCTTCTTTAACTCTCCTCCCTGTGGACTCACACCTGTCCAGAGCATCATCTCCTGTGTTCAAGGCATCACAGAAACTCTTCATTCAGCCTCCGCCACACGTGAGTGACTTATGTCTTCCAGACAATAATGATGTAATGAATAAGATAATAATTCAGTGGCAGTGATTCTAAATATTTAGTCACTTATATTGCATGCAGTGTGGTTTATGTCTTGTCATCATTTTTTTTTTTGCTTATTCAGTATTTATAAATGTTTTCTGAATGATACATTTACACATTAGTATTTGATTGTTGTTGTTTTGTAAGAAGTGTGTGCAGTTTTAGCAGCTAAAATGAAGAAAAGAAAAAAACAACAACAAAAAAAAAACCTGAGAAAAAGATAAGCCTTTTCAACAGCGCTGTGTGGAAAGGTGAAGATAACAAATCTCATTACAGTGGACATGTATTTTAAGGACTCACCCACGATCCGTGACACCCCAAGCAGAGAACAATGGGAGTCAGGTCATTATTACAGACTGGGAAGACCAAACTGATTCCAGCTGCCTTTACTCTGAGCCTCCACACACAGAGGGCAAAAAATAAGAAAATTGGTCCCGAAAAGCATGCATGTGGACAGTCTCATCGGGCATATCTACAATGGATTCACGGAAGCAATTTAGAGAAAAAGAGATGTAAGCGGCACGGCTTTTAAGAATTAAAATTAAATGTTTTCTGAATAAGCAGTTTAATTACACTAAAGCTTTTTTTGTTTCAAACGCATCAAGTGTGCCTACGATTTTCATTCTCAGGCACATTCATTTGATCTGTGACTCCACTTATACAGAGAAAAACACATTTAATTTCCCCAAAGGCTTAGCATCAAAGGTTTTTACACGTCATAATATTATTACAATGAATTTTCTCAATGAATATTAATCACAACATCATCAAAGATCAATTGTTTCCGATAAATAGAATATGAAATTGTAACACATTCAATAAAATGTATTTTCTAAATAAAAAAGGGGGAAAATATGCTCTTAGACTGAAAAAGGAAAACCTTCTGTATTCAGCACAATGCTGCTGCCTATCTATAGAGAAAAACCCAAGGTGAACATAAATTATGGTCGGCCATTTGTACATTACTATTTTGGCTATTTTGAGCAATGGAGGACACTTTGATGAGGGAGAAAAGAAGAATACAATGGAGCAAATGGAGCCAGGCAAGTCATGATGTTCCCTCAACCTACAGCTTCAGCTCAAGGATGGGACCAAGAATAACAACACCTACAAGCTGAATGTCCAGTCTGTGTTGTTGGATCAGTGCAATATGAAATAGTTAATAGCAATGGGTATTTTATTCCTGGTTCTGAATTAAGCTCTGCTGGTCGTGGCAATACAACTGCTTTGCCACCCCGTAAGAAAAGATGATCAGTGCTGTGCCACACTGCCCACAGCTCAGTCCACACGCTGACAGGGTAGGTTAGTAAGGAGGCAGTGTGAAGTGACTGATAGCTAAGTGCGTGTGCTGCTAATAGAAAGTGACAGTTTCATTTTGTTTATGATGTTGGCTTTCACAGCACATGTCCAAGGATTGAGGGGAGACAGCTTGAATCCATTTTTAGGATTCCGACAATGTCACGCCCTTTCACTTTGACGTACCACATCAGTCATTGTGCAAAAGAGAAAAAGACAAATATGTACTGCAGGGTACGCGCAATAATTTTAGAGTCACAAAGCTGTTGTCTTTATCTTGAAATGTGTGTGGGTTTTTGGGCAATGAATGGAGAGGTCTTTGCGTGTACAAATAAACAATGAAAATGGGGTCGGTTACTGCTCTAAGTCAAACAATAAGGTGTGAAAAAAATATATGTATATTTTGGTTTTGGTATCTTTAGGATTTCTTATTAGGATTTGTTTAAAGTGGGATTTTTCCCACACAGGTCCAACAAAGTGTATTTTACAGTATGAATATATAAGTATGAAATTATTTTTTTTTAATAGCTGGAACATAAAAAAAACTGCCCCAATGACCAAGTGATTCCTTGTTTCTTCAGATTGAACTGACCTCAAACTTCCTACAGAAAATGACTTCTGGCAATATTAGGTCCCTGCTTAAATTATTCAAAGAAACAGCTTGAGCATATTAAAAAATATTCTTGCTAACCTAATTTAAGTTTCAGCTTAGTGATTAGTTTTATGTCTTTTAAAAATTTGTTTATGACTACCACTGGCATGTTTTCTATCTGTTTCTGTTTATAATTCAGCTTGTCACATATTTTTACATGATTGCAGTTAATCACATAGTGACGAAACTTTGTAAAAATTACCGTGCTTCCTAAACTTTGCTTCAAATCTATTAACTGTTGTTTTGAGCTAAACTCTGAAAATCTCTCTCCTGATCTATGTGACTCATCCACACAGAGCAGGTCCCATGACGCAGACAGACAGCAGTAACACAGTCTCTTCATTTATAGTTAAAAAATTATGTGTGCACTAAATATGTAGTTTTGCAAGCCTTGCACACAAAATAGGCTATTTTAAAAATTAGCAGTGCAAAACTGACCACACAAGAGTCTATTTTAGCCAGATTCTATGATATAGCTTACTTTGAAAAAGGCCTTGTTCGGGTCCCTGCTGTTTGAGTTTGGATCAGTATTACAAATTAATATGCTGTATTTTTGACAGAAGAATCCACTGGATGTGTTTTTCAGGTTTTGCTCAATTAATTCACTGCTAAGGCTCTCCCAGCCTGACTTAATGACAAATTAGTCAAATTTTGTGGCAATCAATTCAACCGATGTTTATAAAACATGTGAGCCTTTAGAAGATGCATCATGAGGCACAATAAATGCATTGCTGTCAAACATTAATGTCCATCATTAGTCATTTCAGAGGTGATTTAATGATGCTCATCAGCTTTTCTCTAAATAAAAACTTCAATATAAGACCTTTCTCTTGCAATTGTTTCAGTAATAGGCATGGTTGAGTATTAATACAGTTCTACCAAACATTGTCATTGATTTCTACATGAACAGATCATTTGACCTATAGAATCCATTGCAACTAAAAGGGTTTTTTTTTTATCTGTTTTTCTTCCCTGTCTCAGATGTATGTTTCCAAAAGATTGGAATGGATGGTTAGGTCCAGAGAGATTTGGTGACATGTCCGTCAGTGCCAACACAAGCCTGTCTTCTTTACCTACATCACCTCTGCTCTTCAATGGTTCTACCTCTTCACATTCTCTATTTTGGGAGAAAGAAAGTGCCAATCATGAGTCTGTGCAGGAATGGCCAGGGAACAAAACCCAGCTCATGTCAGACCTCTCTGTTCTTGAGCAGGAAGAGCAGTGCCATATGTCTCCTGTCCTCACAACATGCCTTGTGGTGTGGTACAGTGTTACAATGGTGCTGGGGTTGGTGGGGAACATCGGCCTCATTTGCATCATCACCCATCGCAGAGAGAAAGTCAATGTCACCAGCATTTTCATCTGCAATCTGTCATTCTCTGACATTTTGGTGTGCATGTTCTGTCTCCCCTTCACTGTCATTTATACGCTCATGGACCACTGGGTGTTTGGGTCGCTGTTGTGCCGTCTGGTGCCATTCATCCAGTGCGTGTCTGTGACAGTGTCAGTGCTGTCTTTAGTCTTCATTGCTCTAGAAAGACATCAACTCATCATTAACCCATCTGGATGGAAACCAAGCATCCCCCAGGCCTACATGGCTGTCATTTTCATCTGGATTCTTGCCAGCTTCACATCCACACCCTTTTTAGCCTTTCAACTGCTCACAAACGAGCCATACACCAATGTAGTCCTGCCATTTCATCCCCAACTGTATCCTCCTGTTTATTTTAATGCATCTCCAACTCAGCTTGTCTCCGCTACTTACAAGAACTCATCTGTGCCTTTAAATCTCTATCGCTCTCTCTTCTCTTATGTCCCCACCTCTCCTCATATGGAAGCCTGTGTGGAGCACTGGCCATCTCACGAACATAGGGTGGCTTACACCACATGGCTTCTGCTGTTTCAATACTGCGGTCCACTCCTGTTGGTGCTGCTCTGCTATGTCAGAGTTTTTGTCCGCCTTCGCCACCGCAAAGACATGTTGGACCGTGCCCGGACCCCAGAAAACCAGCGCATGACCAACAGCCGGCGGATCAACATCATGCTGGTCGCGCTCATAACAGCCTTCGCCCTTTGCTGGCTTCCGCTCACCATCTTCAACGTGCTGTCCGACTGGAACCTGGAAGCTCTGCCTGTCTGCCATCACAACCTCCTGTTTTCCCTCTGCCACCTGCTGGCCATGTCCTCCACCTGCATCAATCCCATAATTTATGGCTTCCTCAACTCCAACTTTCGTCAGGAAGTGCGGGAGGTGCTGCTCCACTGCCGCTGTTTCCCACAAGAAGAGGAGTTTGAGCGTTTTCCCATGTCCACAGTAAACATGGAGATGTCTCGCACCTCTGTGCCTCTACAGTGCAGAAGTAATTCAGTCTCACTTTAGAAAAGTCACGCCTCTATAATAGGATGTAGGCAGATAAACGGTTCAGTTTTTGAACTTTGATTTTCTTTGTTTTATCAGTGGTGTAAAGTAAAGTGTATACTACAGCGTTGTTTTTTCTCGTTCTGTGCATCCCTATAATTAAATAAGAAATGTTAATAGTAGCATTGGTTTTAAGATATTAAGGGTAATGTATTAGCTAAAAGTTGCTGTAAAAAAATCATTGTGTCAGACTGACTACAGTATTTGTTTTCAAGTGGACTACTGTGATAAAGTTGTATTTTTTGTATTTATGACAGTTCTGTGTAAAAGTGAACATTTTACAGTGAAGAATAAATTAGGCTTGTTTTGTGATTTCTGTGACAAAGATAACATATTGCTTTACAATATTGCT